TGTGTGTATATATATATATATATATATATATATATATATTTGTATCCTAATATTAATTTTTAAAAAAATCTAAACAGCTACTTTAATAATTTCCCTCCAAGCGAAAGGAAGAATCTTGAACCCAGAAATTGAATCTGTAATTAGATTATGGTTTATACATATATAACTACAATATTTTAAGCAATGTTATGGGAGAATCTACTTTTCTCCCTTGCCTTTCTGGAGTCAACTCTAATCTTTCTATTGTCAATAAATCGCTTTGTCATCAATCTTACAATCAGTTGACCATCACAATGCAATAATGCGGAAAGAAAGATAGACGAATGTAAAGAATGAGAATTCTTCTGTGAGCTTTTTATTTTGGTCATAGCTTAAAATGCGTGCTGACGAAAAAGAATATAACTAGAATATTTCTTTTTTTTAGAAAAATAGACGCAGCTCAAAATGAGGGCTTCAAAATGAATATTACTTAAAATGAGAGTTTTAAAAAATTATCATAGCCATATAAGATAAAGGACATAACATTTAATTCCATTGATGACTATTGCCGATATGAATCCAAATAAATTTATGACTATTGCTGATTTTTAAAGAATTAAAAGATGAATCCTAATAAATTTGTAGTACTTAATTCGCTTATTTGCATTGGTCACTGAATTTTGGTTTATTTTGGTGTTAAAAACTAGGATTTACACTATAACATTGAGAAGACACATTTTGTGCAATGTAAATTTTCGAAATCATGCTTTTTTTAGTTATGTCCATTTTTTTAATTACATTTTCTTATGTATGTCCCTTTTTTAACGCACGTGCTTTAAGCTGAGACTACATTTCGGTGTGTTTATAAACGTGCATTTCATCTATTTTAATTACAATTACAAGCATTTTCAGAAATACTTTCAAAAATTAAGGTTATTTACAAGAAAAAAATAACGAATAGCTATATACAATTTCGAAAGCAATGGTTTCTTAATTTATAGCACATACTAATCTTAATTTGTAAAATTATTCATTTGAACTATTTGTCTTTTTTATTCCAAATTGAGCATTTGCTCAATTAGTGTT